GCTATACTATACTAGTGTATACTATACTATGGAAACATATGTAGGTCTAAACAAGGATTTGTCAGATTAATGGTAGAAGGTGGCATAAATAAATTATGGTGTTTTCAGTCCAAAGGAAATGACTTTGTAACCGGTTACGTAGATAGTGTTGATGAGAGATATGATTAATTTTCGTCATGAAATGAAAGAAAGTTACCTCATAAAACTAAGCTTTCTTACGACCAAAGAATATTCAAGTCTGCCGCCTCCGCAGGAAGCATGCAGGAAAAATATATTCTAATCAGGTGATAAATTACCTCTTTACAGTCTTTGTTCATCAGATCCATACGCAGCGCTATTCAGGTATTTGATAATGCAAACAGTTCAGCGCGCTGAAATAAATAATTTCTCTCTCTTGGTGTTAAGTTTTATTTTATTGGCTTCTTACATAAATAACAGTATCTATTTATAACTTTTAGTTAAATTTTGGAGACCTATTTGGTTGACGTTAAGCTGCGCAATGGTTCATCCGCCATGTTGGATTTTCGATAATGCGAAAAGTCGAATTTTCTCCTTCTGTCGTCGGAAAAGAGCGCTTTCCCGGCGGCCCTCTTTAATTGACTGTCGCAGATTGGATGTTTACGTTTTATTTGTTTATTGTCTAGCAATCTGTAAAGGTACGTTTGTTAAAAATATGTTAAAAGTGGGCATTTTTAAAAAAAGAATTGTCCGATTTCGCACCGGCCGCGTTGCAAAGGCCGGTGCCTTCGTGTATTTGTTATGTGTGCACTTTCGAATATCGGTCGGTGATCAGCCACTAAGTTTTTTTTCGATCGCCGTTGATCGTGATCGACTTAAAATACTGCGTTTTATTGAAAAATTACAAGCCAGTAGAGATAGACAATTTGGATTGGTTCACTCGAGATTAGGATTTAAACAATTCAGGTCAAAAGTAAATATTTTCCTTGGTTTTAAAGTCGGTTATTTATGTGACGTTAGGGAGGCCTTGACAGCTAACCTTGTGTTTAATTTCCGTGTTTATGTTTTGTGTTGATATAAACGAGACTCTAGGCCGAGGATTGACAGAGTTGTGACAAGGAGCATTACTATATATTTATGTTTTAAGCGAATTATCCGTTTGTTTGTAACATTTCTGTTATGTTGCTGCGTTATTTACTTAAAATAATGCTTTATAGTCCGTTGCTCATGTCCTGTCCTTTTGTGTTCTTCCGTGTCCAAATGTCGTCAGACATCACTAAAATGTTATATTTTGATAAATGTAAAATGAGCCTCTGCAGCATTTCAGTTTTTTTAGTTGCATGTTATAGCCATCATCAGGTTCAGAAATGTATTTATTAAATGGAATAGGAGATTTTCCAATGTACCCACAACTCTAACTAAACTAAACTACTGCACTCTATTGCCCCTCAAGTTAATTGTATTATGCCCCTTTTAAGGATACCTGTAATTAAAGAGGAACCGCTCAATCCCATGGATTGCACCAAAGAATCATGGGACACTATTGTTTATGTTGTTTACAATGTTAATCTATCTTTTGTTATCCATTGTTATTTTAATCCAGAAAGTAAATTTGTTGTGAAATTAATCTTAACTGGAAGGTGCCCCTTTAACTGAATTGAGTGGCTGAAGGGTTAAAGTTAGGGTAAGGGATGGGGGTACATTGGAAAGTCTTTCTCTCCAAATTAATTTCGAAGTGACATAGTATATACTGTGGAATACTTTATTTTTTCTTGAATATACTTTTTGGCCTATATTTCACATGCAATCAAAAATCAGTGAAAATAAATTCAAGACAAAACACCCAAAAGATCTTTTCAGCGAAAATTAATTCAAGCTAAAATACAGTATTTTACAGTAGTTCAGATATAACACTACTGGGGTACAGTACTCATGATCTCATTTAAGTGAACAATAGTGGAATTGTCTGCTTACTCAAAAAGAGAAAAGGAAAAGTTTTTATGGGAGTGCGTCAGTGCAAACTAAGACCTTTTTTATCATTATAATGCAAATGATATCATTATCTTGTCTTTCATAACAGGAAATTGTGCACATGTAGCATTTGATATTGCAGTTCTTATTCAAATTTCCTGTAACTTTCTGTGCTAGTAATGATCTCTTCTACAGGACTTGTTTTAGGTTCTGTGTGCCCGAACACATAATTGAACAAGTGTTCAACTCTTTTCTTAGCTGTACACTTTTACAGATTTTGCTCAAAATTGCTAAAGGCATCATGCATTGCATGTTCACTCATTTATTATTATTTGTTCATTTATTTTGGTATCTTGATCAAACTGAATGATGGAGACTTTCATCCTTTTGTTTTATTATAGTCTGATAAAAAAAAAAGCTGACTAATGACTGTTGGTTTTATTTTCACATGTTCTTAACTTAATAATGACTTGTCTATTTATTAGTCCTCGTTCGGACGAAGTCCGAAAACGGGGACTTGTAATTCGGTCTCTGTCTGTGCGTTCGTCCGTCTGTCCGGAGTCATAACTCAGAATCCCTTGGACTGATTCCGTTCATTCTTTGCATGTGCCTAGTACTTTATGTGGGACATATGCACATGCAGTGGTTTAGCGATTCGATTCAAAATGGCCGACTGGCAGCCATCTTGTTTTTTGAAAATGTTGTATTTTGGACATGCTTTGTCAGTTTTCATTCAAACTTGGTACATAGATTATACATGTTAGGATACATGCCCATGACGATTTATTTTACAATTGGATCAAAGATGGCCGACTGGCAGCCATCTTGTTTTTTGAAAATGTCTTATTTTGGACATGCTTTGTCAGTTTTCATTCAAACTTTAGTACATAGATCATACATGTTAGGATACATGTCCCGACCGTTCGTGAGTTCCTGAGTCTGTCCGTCCGTGCATCTGTGCTCAGTCTGTCCAGAGTCATATTTCAGAATCTTGTGGACCGATTCCGTTCATTCTTTGCATGTGCCTAGTACCTTATGTGGGACATATGCACATGCAGTGGTTTAGCAATTAGATTCAAAATAGCCGACTGGCAGCCATCTTGTTTTTTGAAAATGTTGTATTTTGGACATGCTTTGTCAGTTTTCATTCAAACTTGGTACATAGATTATACATGTTAGGATACATGCCCATGACGATTTATTTTACAATTGGATCAAAGATGGCCGACTGGCAGCCATCTTGTTTTTTGAAAATGTCTTATTTTGGACATGCTTTGTCAGTTTTCATTCAAATTTAGTACATAGATCATACAT